GGGGGGCGCAGGCGGCTCCGCTTTACGGCTGCGCGGCGGCCGCCGCAATGGGCGGGGGGGGGTTTGCGACGGGCCGTAAAGCGGGGATGGGCGGGGAGGGGGGGCGGCACCAGGGGGTTCGTGTGTCCCCCCCCCCAAAAAAAACCCAGGAGGTGACCCCCCGCACCATGGAGGACCCCCGACCCGGCCCGGGGGCGCGGGCAGAGAGGAGCGAAGCGGTGCTGGCGGCAGCGGCTTTATTGACAGCGGGAGAGGCCGCGTGGGACCCCCGGGGGGGGTGCAGAGACCCCCCCCAGGCTGACCCTGACCTTGACCCACGGGGATGGACCCCCCGAGTCTGGCTGAGCCCCCCAAGTGATGCCCCTGCCCCCCCCCAAGAACTGGCTGAGCTCCCCAAGTGATGCCCCCCCATCTGAACCCCCCCCAATGATGCTCCTCTCAGTCTAAGCCCCCCTAAGTGCTGCCCTTGCCCCCCAGTTTAAGCCCCCCAAGTGATGCCCCGGTCTGTCCGTGACCCCCTCCAAAATAGGCTGAGCCCCTCAAAGTGATGCCCTCCCATCTGGGACCCCCCCAGGTGATGCCCCCTGCCCCATGCCAGGGGTCCCTCACTGGGGGGTCCCGGGGGCCCTGCGGGGGCTCAGTGGGACCCCCCCCCGGCGCGGGAGGGCAGCCGCGGCCCCCCGGGCCCGGCTCAGCTGGTCCACGGAGGCTTCGAGGTGGGCGAATCTCTCCGAGAGCCCCCTCAGCTGCTCCTTCAGGGCACGGAAATCCCGGTACAGCTCATCCAGGGCCCCCGACAGCGCCGGGATCCTGCGGGGGCGGCGGGGTAAGGGCAGGGACCCTCCTGAGCACCCCCCGGGGACCCTCCGAGCCCCCCAAGGGAGACACCCCAGCCCCTCACCTGCCGTAGTCGGGCAGCACGGTCTGGTGGTCCGCCAGCAGCAGGTTCCGGAGCTGGGAGGTGATGGCGAATTTCCAGTTGTCCAGGACCAGCGTCAGGTTGGCACAGCCCCTGGTCAGCGGCCTCTGGGCTGGAGGGGCCGCAGTGGGACCACGGGCAGCCCCCCCGGAGCAGGACCCTCACCTGGGACCCCCCTCCAGCCCCACACCCAGGGCAGGCCCTGCCGTCAGGCCCCTGCCTGTGCCTGTGCTCCGGTGGGAAGGGGGTCCCAAGCGGGAAGAGGGTCCCAGGGGTGGGAATTACCCTCTCCTCCATCGTCCCACGCCGCCGGGCGCCGCTTCAGCTTGGCTGTGCTCCCCAGGGCCGTGAGGAGCAGGAGGGGGAGCAGCAGCCGGGCCATGGCTGGGCTGTATCCCCGCGGTGTCCCCAAGGGTGTCCCCAGGGCTGTCGTGTCCCCAAGGGCCGAGCTGGGCACGTGTCACCCCCCTGCTCCTGCCCTGCTCCTGCTCCCGCTCCCGCTCTCCGGGCTGTGCTCCCCGGCTCTGGCTCCAGCAGCTCCCGCTCCCCCTGTTCCAGGCTGGGCTGGCTCCGGGCCCGGCCGCTCATGGCTGCAGGGCTGATTGCAAACAGACCCGGACATGGCCTGGACACGGCCCGGACACACGAGTCCTGCCGGGAATGCCGAGCAGTGATGGGGTGCAGGTGGCACAGCACTGGGGAGCAGGGCCCCCACCAGTTCCTGCTGGGAACGGGAACTATCCCAGCCCTATGAGCGCGGTGTCGCCCGTTCCGGTTGGGAACATGGAGCATCCATGGAGCTCCATCCCAGCTGAGGTGACGGAGTGCAGACGACACGGTGCTGGGGCGCAGCGTCCTCCTATTCCCAGCGGGAACAAGGAACATCCCAGCCCCATCCCAGCTCATGGGAGGGAGCACAGAGGCACTGGGGTGCAGCATCCCCCCCTTTCCCGTTGGGAATGTGGAGCATCCTGGGACAGGTGACAGAGAGCAGGAGGCTCTGGTTTGAGGTGCTTTTATTCCACGTTACTCGCAGCCCCCGTGCCCGGGCGCCCCCCAGCACTGCACCCCCAAACCCCAGCACACCCAGGGAAAAGCAACCGCAGCCCAGAGCCGGGCCTTGGGATGAAGCCTTCGGAGAGCCCCAGTGAGGGGCGGGGGAGCCAGAGGGTCCCTGCCCTGCTGGACACCAGGACACCCTGTCCTGGAGCAGGATGGGGCCTCCAGTCCCCCTCCCACGATGGGACACAATCCCAGTGCCCCTGGGATTGAACCAGAGCCGCAGAGACAGGACAGGGGGGCTCCAGGACAGGCACCTCCATCATCCACCTCTGCCCGGGGCAGCTCCAGCCAGGGGCTAAAGGGAGGGTGGGGGCAAGAGCCCCGAGTCCCAGCTCCAGCCAGGACACGCTCCGGAGGGATGAGGACATGGGGGAAGGAAGGCACCAGCTCCCGGGACACGCTGGAGGTGAGGTGGGTGCCCAGGTTACGTGGCTGTCCTGTCACCCCTTCCCCAGGAGCCCACTCAGGCTCTGTGGGGTGACACAGCACCCGGAGGGGACACCCCTCCTGCAGTCCCCACAGGGTGCCAAGCTGAGAGCTGGCAGGTGCCCACCCTGTGCCCGGTGTCCCGTCCTGCTCCAGGAACATCAAAGCCACCCGCCCACCCCGCGGGGCCAGTCGGTGCTGGAGCTCTTGGGGATCCAGGCGCCCCCACGGGCAGGGAACTGGAGCAAAGCTGCAGGCAGGGAGATGCCAAAGCCTCCCCATCTCCTCAGGAGGGAAGTGGGCACAGTCACCCCCTGAGCCCCCCTGGGTCCCCCTGGCAGGCTGGCAGCAGTGGGGATGGTGGGGGGCCAGCCCTGGGCACAGGCTGAGGGGAAGCGTCAGTTCTCCGGGCTGGGAGCACCAAGCGGCTCCGGGATGGCCCCCGAAAGGGAGCGAGGAGTAACTGGGGGGCTGGAGCCACCCCGTGCCCGGCTCCGCAGCCGGAGCTGGAAGCTGAAGGGAGGAAGGGGAGGGACAAGCGCCGCGCCGGCTGCTCCGGGGAGGCTCGGGGCGGGAGCGGGGCTAGGAACGGGGCAGGCTGCACATCTCGCAGTGGTCCGTGCCCGGCTGGTTCATGAAGGTGCAGTGCTGGCAGGGCCACATGGCTGCGGCCACGGCGTGCGACGAGCCCCCCATGGCGCCGTATTCCTGCATTCCCGAGAGCGGGACACCCACCGTGCCTGCGGAGAGAGCCCGGGGGGAGCGCTGGGATCCCTGCACAGCCCACCCCGCGGCCCCTCCGGTCCCAACCCTGGGAGTTTTCCAGGGGGCTTGGAGCAACCTGGTCTAGGGGAAGGTGTCTCTGCCCATGGCAGGAGGTGGGATGAGATGAGCTTTAAGGTCCCTTCCCACCCAAACCATTCCACGATTCCATGACCTAGCAACAGCTGTCCTCCCCCTGAGCCTCCAGCAGCCTCTTTAGGGGCTTGGGAACAGCACCACACACAGCCCCCAGCCAGCTCTGCCAAGGGACGAGGGACCCCCCCTGCCCCAGGGACCCCCCTCTTACTGCAGAGCTGCTCGATGGTCGCCCACTGCTCGGATTTTTTCCAGGTCTGTGCAAGCTCCTCATTTTTGGTCCTCACGGCTTCCAGCAACAAGCTGATGCTGTCCTGGAAGCCACAGGAGGGAAATGAGCACTGTGACCCCTCCAGTGTCCCACCGGGAGCTGTGACCAGGGATGTGCCCTCCTTCCCTAGCACAGCAAGGCAGGACCCTGAGCCTGAGCTGTTCCCCCTTTCCCGAGATCCTTGGAGTGTCCCAGTTTATCCCTCTGCTCCCCTCAACAGTCAGACAGACCCCTACATCCCGGAAGATTCCGTTCCTCTGCTTCCAGGATGTATCACCTACTGCTCTGGCACAGTGTGCCGGTGCTGCACAGCAATCCTGACTTCCAGAGGGGCAAATCCTCCGTGCTGGAGCACTCCAGCCCCCATCCCTGTCCCCATCCCGATCTCCAGCTGCCCAGGGTCATCCCGGCTGCCTCACACATGCGCAGCCTCCGGCCAACACGGCCCAGCTGGATCCCACCGGGAAGCTCCGGCGGTGCCGGGGCGGCCGCCAGGCCCGCGGTGCCCGGCCAAGGGCAGCAGAGCTGCACTGCCAGGACACCCCTGGCCCCACCAGGGTCTGGGGGCTCTGCTCTCGTTCCCACAGAATTCCTCATTCTGAGATAATTTTTAAAACGTTTCCAGCTCCGGGAGCCGCAGCCAAGTTGGCTCTGGAATCGTGTGGACAATCACCACCCTCCCTCAGCACTCCCAACAGCTCGGGGGCTTTAAAAGGGTTTTAAAACTTTTTTAACCTTCTCCCAACAGCTCAGCTGGGAAAAGACAGCGATGGGACCCGCCCAGGGACACAGGATGGCAGGAATGGTCACCCCCACCCACCTGAGGGACCTGGGATGGGGAGGATGGATAGGGACAGGACTCTCCCCACCCCACTACGTACCCGCAGAGGCATGACCTCATTTGTGACCAGGAAGAGGAGCAGATGGAAATCAGAAATGATGTCTAGGAAAATGGAGGATGTGTTTTGGGACAGGTACGTGGCCAAGCTGTGGAAGTCCTGGAGAGAGGGGACAGTAATGAAGAGAAGTCACTTCCTATTCTGATGTGCTACCAGACATTTCTGGTGCCTCTGGGCATCAGCTGCAATGTGCAGGGATGATCCCAAAATCAGATCCCAGGCTGGCTGATTGAATTCCAGCTAACAACTTCCAGGGAAAAGGATCTCTGCACCCACACCAGCTTTTCCTGACCAACCCCAGTGCACACAGAGCTGACCTCAGACCCAAGAAGTGCTGAGTGGGGCCAGGCAACTCCAGCCCTGTCCCTATGGAAAAGGGGTAGAGGGGGATGGAGCAGCCCTTTCCTCCCCATCCTCTGCCCTGGCCCCTTGCAGGAACAGTGCCCTGTGCTTTAAAATTCCAATCAGGAAGAGAAGGCAGTGCTCTGAGAGCAGAACAGACGCCAGACCCTCTCCTGTCTGTGGGGAGAAGGGGGTCTGTGGCATCTCTGTGGGGCTGGAGCCCCTTGGCCCCTCTGGTGCTGCCTGGGAGGCACAGGGAGCCCTGATCCCGTCACGGAGCCGTCGGGAACACGGCTGGCAATCAGCATTGGCATGCAGACACTGCTCTGTGCAGGAAGGAGTTTGGCAGCTGCACTGGGAAGGGGTGACTTGAGGGCACAGCTGTCCCTCTGCAGCTGTCAGTGAGCACAAGGGAGGCAGCTCCCGTCCCTATGGAAGTGGCTCCATCAGGAATCAATCCTCACCTGAGTTTCTCCCAGCACATCGCGGTTCTCGATGGGGAATGGATTTTGAGAAATAGAAAAAGTGTAGACTGGATCCTTGGGGAAAGTTGTAGTAATCTAAAGAAAGAAAAAATAATCCAAGGAAGGATGATCAGAGGCCAGTGGGATATGGGAAGCAAGGCTTGGGATAGCCAGGAGCAGCCATGGCTATGATCCCAGCTCAGCCAAACCGTGAGGGATCCTGCGGGGATCTGATGGCTTTTAATTCAATTTAAAGTGATATCCCATCATCCCCTTGGCTCCCAAGCAGCCTTGTTTTTAAGGAAGCTGGAGGGACATAGATGGAGCTTGGTCCTGACAGATGCCATGGAGACCATCCCTCTCTGCACAGGTTACTGGGATACAGCGATCCTGGCACAGTTGTGCTAGGGGGGGATCCTGGGGGCATCCTAATGCACATTCTATCCCTCTGTTTTCATCCCAGTGACAGCCCAGGTATCCCAGGAACAGGTGCCTTCACTACTGCAGGAATCCCTGAGCTCCGGCGCTGCCTGTGCCAGGGGCAGCTGGAGCAGAGCAGTTGCTCCGGGTGGATTTAATCGTTGTTGGCACCACCTCCAGCTCCAGCAATATCATCTGTCATCCCAATTATTTGCTTTCCTGCCTTCCATGCCGTAAGTTTGCTTCCCAGCCCCAGGGCTGAGCCGTGCCGTGCCTGGCAGCAGCTCTGCTCCGGCCAAACTGTGCCAGAGAGTGAATTCCCCCTTCCAAGAAAAGGCATTTCTGGACAACCTGCTGAGTCACTTGAAGGAGATGGATCCCTAATTGCTGCTCTGAGACAGGCAGCTGGAGTTCCTTCCTTAGGCAATGCCCATGGATCCGTGGGGCAGCTGCTCCCTGGCCATGTGGCTCCGTGCCAGGGCAGAGCTGTGATAAGGCACCAGGCAGTGCCTTCCTGGGAATCACCAGGCAGAGCCTTCCTGGGAAGCAGGAGTGTTCCCTGGCACCACACCGGCCCCTCGGAGCAGGGCAGCCACCTCCCTGCTAGGAAAGCCTGGCAGCAGTGGAAAGAGGAGGGTGGCGTGTCTCAGGAACCACCTCCAGTGGGAATTTTAGAGATGGGTGAAGGGTTTGCTGTGCCCTGACCATCTCCTGTGGGAAGCAAACTATGGAATACTCACGTCTATGATGAGGTACTCGACCGGCAGCGGGCGAGCCAGCTGGGTGATCTCGTTCCCAAACTTGTCTATGTCCTGAAAGAGGAAGAGTTGGATTATTCCAGAGCGTGGAAGTGGTGTGAAGCCCAAGGGATCGTGCCCTGGAGATGCCCACCCAGGATCCTGAGCTCTGGCAGATCACTGAGGGTGGAAAAGAACCCAGCTGGGTGGTGCAGGGCTGCCCAATTCCCTGCAGCTCTCTGGGGCTGGAGATCTCTGTAATTCCAGGATCTCTGGAATCAGGAAAAGGGATCGCTGTTTCCTCATGAGCCAAGGGAGTGCGTGGTCACAAACCACCTTGGGCTTGTCTCCCAGGAGACAGACCTGGAATTATCTAAGGAGTGTAAATCAAGGTGTGATTCTTGGGGTTGTTGGACTTGATGATCCTTGTGGGCCCTTCCAACTCCAGATATCCTATAATTCCACGATTCTAAATGCCATTTAAGCAGCTCTTCTGTCTAAAAAAGGAGGGACAGGCCACATCTGCCTCCCCAGCCGAGGCAAACCTGCCTTTCTGCAAGTCCAGGAGTCCCTCATGCAACTCTTCACCTGGGAATTGGGAATCCAGGCACTTTCTCATGCCCAGGCCCTTAGAACCAAGCACATCCCACGGCGTAAACTTGTTTTGCTTTGCCAGACGAAGGGAACATAAAGTTTAATTAGGGAGACAAACGGCCAGCATATGTTCATTAATCATAACCTGACAATTAGACGTGATTGATGTCAAACACGCCGAGTTCAAACGGCGCTTCGGAAATAAATCCCGGAGAACTGACACTTTTCATTAAAGATTCCGTACGAGGGGGTTGTGTTTTCTACCTAAATCATCACTTAACGTGGTATAAATCATTCATTGAGCCCCACATAAATCATGTGCCCATAATTCCCAGTCAGGGACTCTATATTGGAGTTTCCATGGACTCAGTGGCTGGAGCCAGAGCAGAGGTGTCATCCCAGAAGGTTGTGAGTCCCATTCCTCCAGCGGATCTCCCGTGGGATGGGAGCAGCATTCCTTGGGCTGAGCCAGGGAGCACCATGCAGGGACAAGCTGCTGACTCCCTCCTTTCTCCCTCCCCTTTCTCCCAGCCAGTTTTTCTCCTGGAGAACACCACTCCCCCACTCTCCCTGGTGTTTACACAGCACAACTATGCGGAGCAGCAGCCAGCACCATCCCACTCTCCCAGTACTCCCAGTCAGACCTCGCCCCAGCAGGCTCCAGCACGCTGCTCCCCTCCAGGCACAGACCCCCTCCCCAAGCACCCCGTCCCCAGGAACTGTTCCCTCTGTAAAAAAAAAATCTCCCTTCCACTCTTTGAAGCTCCTTTGAAAGGCAGTTCTGATAAGGATCTTTGCTCCTCACACATGACAGGTTGCTGGGAGCTCCTGGCCTCAGATCTCTCTTGCTCTGACAGGAGCAGGAGGAGCCGTGGAGCCTTTTTTTGGGAGATCACAGGACCCCAGAGCCAACCTGCTCCTAGATCTCAGTGATACCACAAGAGGCAGGAATCAGATCCAATCAGCTTCCCAAACACAATCCTGCCCCTGCAAGAAGGGACCTGCAACAACTCACGCATAATTAGCCCATCTGGAATTCATTTTCCAATCTAATTAAGTTCTAATATGCAGAAACATTTTTCCAGCACCTGTTGGCTTTAATCTCCCCCTCCGGGGATTTCCATGTTAAATGCCTGCTTTTTCATGGCACGCTGCTGAGGCCTCCAAGACATCCACAGACTGGGACCTCGCTCCCCCCGAGCCAAGGACGTGTCCCAGTCCCGACAGAACAGCCCCCCCAAACACTGACATTCCTCTCCCACCCCCATGGATCCTTTAACTATGTTTTAAAGGCCTTAATGAACATCAAGTTGGGAGAAAGATCCTTATCCTGAACTTGGCATCACCAGGACCTCACCAGTGCCCTGTTATTGCTGCAGCCTGAGCCCCCCAAAGCCCAGTGGCACTCATTCCAAAGGGAGCCAAGGAAGGGGTTAATGGAGCCACAGGTATTTGGCTCCTGGACAAAAACCCATCAGCAAGGTCTGGACAATGAGTTATCCCAGTGGAGATTGCATCAGGGCTGGGATTAGAGCCTTCCAAACCACTCTTTGGAGGCAGAAGCTGCACAGGGATGGGGATGAACAGGGAAAAGGGCGGGAGCACAGCCGGTGTCACACACCTTGGTGGGATGGAAAGGCTTCTGGGTGGTCTCGGGATTATCCACAGAAGGTGAGGGGAGCAGCCAAGTGAGGAGCCTGGGCGGGTGTCAGCCAGGAGGGAGGCTCTGGATCCGCGTCCCAGGGCTCGACAGCCGTGAGCATCCCACGCCGTCAGCATCCCAGGCTGTGAGCATCCCACATCCCACGCCGTCATTCCCGACCTGCTCCCTCGCTGAAGGCACCGTGGAGCTCAGCAGCCGCCTGCCCTTCCCGTGTGGGAATAAATCCCAGCCTTGCTCTTCCCTCTGCCACTTCCCAGCACTTCGCCGGGCGATCCTGCCCCTCGCACGGAGAGCGTGGCTCAGGCACAGAGACAAAGCGACTTCTCCAAGAGCAAGTGACAGGTCAGGGAGAGTTGAAACCCTTCCCAAGAGACTCCTGGTGAGCTAATCCAGCATCCTCCTCCCCGGAGCAGCCAGGACATTTAAGGCTAAGGTGGCTTGTGGTGGGAGGGCAGCCAGGGAAGTCCTTCCCCATCAGTGAACACTCCCTGCAGCCTGGCTCTCCCTGGGAAGAGGATTTCCAGTGCCAGGGAAGGACAGCCTGGCTCAGAGGTCCCGCTGGGCTCTAATAAAAGCAGGGCCCTGGCTTGGGGTTGTCCCAGGGTGGGATGGGACACGTGTCACTGGTGCCAGGCCAGTGCTCAGAGCACGTGTGGGACTTGAGGGCAAAGGGCTCTTGCACAATACTTGTAAAGGGCTTTTGTCTTACAGCATCCCAAAGAAACTCTGGGGGGATATTAAACCATCCCAAAGAAACTCTGAGGGAATATGAAACCATCCCAAAGAAACTCTGCAGGATGTTAAGGCAGCTGTAAAATGCAACTCACTGCGAGGATGACGATGACATTGTCATGTTTGAGCTGCCACAAATACCAGTGATAAGAGACAAAGGCAGCCAGCCCCCAAATCCAATTATCCAAGGGTTTTAAAGGGTCCGTAAAACACAGGAATCTCTTTCCCCAGTGGTGGAGCAGTTCAGCAATGCCAGAATTCCTGGGCCAGAGGACTGGGAGGAGGGGACAGCAGGGACGACAGGGTGCAGGCAGGGAGGGATCCCTCCAGCTGGGGCACAGCGCTGAATCATCAACCCAAGGTACATTCTTAGGGAACTCCAAATCAATCCAGCTGTTTTCCAGAACCAGATGGACAGAGGAGGCTGCTCGAGGGCAGCAGACAGGACAGAAAACACTTGTATGGAACATTCAGACGGGCTCGCCCTCATCCAGCTGAGAAACCGGGTGAAGTGGCCGTTGCAACATCATCATCTTCACTCACAGAGTCTTTACCCCGACCCGTGTCTGTGTCTTGACAACATCGAGTCCTTCACGAGTTCCGTGTGCTGAGCTCTCCAGGCAGCACGTGCCGGCTGTGAAACGTTCCAGCTGGAAACGCTGCACTGAGACGCTTCCCAGGCACCCTGGGAGGCTGGGGGGGATGGATGTGTCCTTCCTCCTGGCTAACTTTACCTGGGGAAGCACTTCAGAGCAAAGTAACTTGTACTCACAGTCCCCAAACCCCTCGACTCCCACGCTGGGCAGAGCTCTCGCCTTCCCGAGCCAGGAGAGCAACGGCCGCGTGTCCAAAGCCAATTCCACGGGGGTGGCTCCTTGGAGCAGCAGGCGAGGGGCCAATGTAAAGAGAATGGTAAAGAAATACAGAAACCACACAGCTGGAGGCTCAGGAAAACTGCAGGACAACGCCAGTGCCATCAGCTTTCCCATCTCCACGGAAGAAAAGCAGTACCTTTTCCCATTTGGAAGCCGGAGGTGAATCCACTGGCCCTGCTGTGGATCCCTGGATCCTGCCTCACATCTGGCTGTTCTATAAATACATCCACACTCACAAATATCGGCCTCCTGGTCCTCATTCAATTAGAATTAAGTTGTAGAGCTCCTTTCATCCTAAAGGGCTTTTCAGATGGATATTGTATGGGAATACACACGGACTTTTCCCTGGACCAGCAACAACTGCGCAGTTGAGGGAAAACAATTACTCCAAAGTGCAGCTTTCTCTCCAAAACTGGCTGGGGGGTGGGCAGAGGGGAACCATCATGGACTGGGACAAAGAGGGAGCAGGGCACTGGACCCCAAAGATTCCATCCTGTGCTGCCAGATTCTTCCTCCTCCTGGAGTTCACCCAGGCTTGGACAGGGCTGCTGTCACCAGCCCAAGACAGATGAGGTCGTGTCTCTGACCCCAAACCTTGCCCATTTAATGGGACCCCAAAGGTTTCCCAAGCCAGGAGTGACTAAGCTTTACACAGATTTAAGAACATTAGGAAAAAATCAAGGGGTCCTAGAGCCAAACCCGTTTAAGGCTGAGGGATAATCCCACCCGGCAGAGCCATCCTTGAGAGCTCCGTGAAAAGGGCAACTGGGGAGAGAAGCTCTAAAACCCGAAATCAGCTGCAGCCCGAGCTGGTGAATCAGTGGTTCATGGAAATTTCCACGGGAGGCTGGAGCCATCCGTTCCCATTCTGTTTATCTCCCTGCTTCAGATTACGGAGGGAAGCGAAGCCCTGCTGGGAACACCCACCGGCTTCCTGCTGCTCCCAGCACCCCGGGTGGCCCACATGTGGGACACAGACCTGTGGGACCTCCTGCAACGAGCCCGAGTGTGGCACAGCCCGGGCTCCTCCGGAGCGGGATCAGGGCACGCCAGGAGATGATCTCATCTCCCCCACGTTCGGGGCCAACCTTTGCACACCCCAGCGCTGCTGGATCTTAATTGGCCCCGGTTTATCAGCTCTGAGAAGGAAGAGAGGCAGAGATTCCATCCACCCTCCCTCTCCAGCGCTGGATTGATCCCAGAGGTGTTCCTTGTTTCCAGGTGGGGCCAAGCCAAGCCGGCACTTTGGCGTTAAGGGGTGGATGATGGGGTCTCTCAGGGAAATCAGCACTTCCCAGTCCCAGTCTCAGGACACGCAGGAACAGCCTGACCAGCTCCATTCCTGTTGCTGGTGCACAAGCCACTCATTCCAGTCATCCCAAACGAAGGCAGCTTTCCTTATCCCGTGCTCCTTAAGGGACAGCTTTAGTACAGGCAGCAGGAGCAGGCATGACAAGGAGGAGATAACTAACGGGTGATGGATGGCTAATTAGCTGGCGAGCAGTGCCATTAATTAATTCCTCTGTCCCTGCTCACGGGGCACCACCAGCCCCGTGCTGGAGCAGCAGCACTATCAGCATCCACAGGGAGCCTGATCCTGAGCTCCTGACTCGGCCCTGCAGGAGCACGAGGGGCTGAGGGTCTCCAGAAACAAGTGCCAAGGGAATAACGACATTCCATCCATCACCAACAGACCCAAAGGGCGGCAGGAAGGGACCAAAAGTGACACCCCAAATAGTCCTGGGACTCCCCTCCAGCTCCAGAGTCCTCAACACGGGAAGGACGTGGAGCTGCTGGAGAGAGTCCAGAGGAGGCCACGGAGATGCTCCGAGGGCTGGAGCCCCTCTGCTCTGGAGCCAGGCTGGGAGAGCTGGGGGGGTTCACCTGGAGAAGAGAAGGCTCCAGGGAGACCTTAGAGCCCCTTCCAGGGCCTAAAGGGGCTCCAGGAGAGCTGGAGAGGGACTTTAGAGTGACAGGACACAGGGAATGGCTTCCCACTGCCAGAGGACAGGGTTAGATGGGATATTGGGAAGGAATTCTTGGCTATGAGGGTGGGGAGGCCCTGGCACAGGTTGCCCAGAGAAGTTGTGACTGCTCCATCCCTGGAAGTGTCCAAGGATAGGCTGGAGCAACCTGGGATAGAGGGAGGTGTCCCTTCCCATGGCAGGGGGTGGAACGAGATGAGCTTTAATGTCCCTTCCAACCCAAACCATTCCATGATTCTATGAATTGAGAGTATTTCAGATCTGCCCCAGTCGTGCACATGTTCCCTGCTGCTCCTCAGGACCAGAGTGTGGATCCAGGGGCACATCCCAGTGCTGCCCAGGCCCTCAGCCCTTACCTTGTAGAACACATCAGGCACGTACTGCTCGCTGCTGGACTCCTTGGCATAGCCCAGCTCCGGTGCGTCCCGGCAGGGCAGGAGGCACTCGTCCCGCACCAGGGCCATGCACTGGTTCGACACCTGGTACCCCTCGAAGTGCACCTGGTTGTCAGGACCACCTGGAAAAGGAGAGAGTGGTCAAAAATCCCAGAATTTACTAAGGTTGGAAAAGAGCTCCAAGTCTGACTGTGCCCGACCCCACCTTGTCACCCAGCCCAGAGCACTGAGTGCCACGTCCAGTCGTTCCCCGAACACCTCCAGGGATGGGGACTCCATGGCACAACCCTCTTCATGAAGAAATTCTTCCTGAAAATCCTGCACAGGGATGATTTCCCCAGGGTAACTCCGAGCGCAGCATTAAAGTTGGACTCGATGAGTTTGGAGCTCTTTTCCAGCCTTAACAATTCCAAGACTCCATGAATTAGACTCGAGGGTCTTGCTAACAATGAGAAACACTGAGATGAAGCTGCTGGTGCTGCTGCACAGGAAGAACTTTAGGCAAGAATTCCCTCTAAGCTCCACATTTCTTTAGTCACACACAGTTCCAGAGCTATCCCAAGAGCACAGACCCAGGGGAGAGCAGGAATGCTCTGTCAGGAGCTCCAAGGAGGAGAAGCTGCCCCTTTGGAGGCTCTGACAGCATCACCCTCCCACTACCCCGCAGGTGTCTCCTCCTTTTCCAAACATAACCCAGGCACAGCGTTCCCAAGGAACCCTGAGCTGCAGATCCCCTGGCCATGTCAGGCCTAAACAGTGTTTTCTCAGCCTGTCCTGGATGCTTTGGTGGAAATCTGACATGGAAAGTGGGAATTAAGAGCCTGGCTCGTGGAGGGATCACATGCTTGGCGCTTTCCTTTGGATAATGTAAGCAACATCAGGTCATGTGTCACTGGAATACAACTGGAAAGAGAGGATAGAGGCAGATGGTAGGAAAACATTACTATTTCCAAAGCTAGGAATTCAGGAGGGGATAGGAATTAATCCATGGAGAGGATTTAAAGGCAAAGTTGAGGCAAACTATCCAAATACATTTCTGTGGCACAAAAGGAAGGACTCGAGTGTTTAAATAGAAACCTGCTGGGCTGATTGAACAGAGGAGAATGAAATTAGCTGGAACAGCAAAGAGGAAATATTCCTTTTCTACCCTTTGATCTGTAACCTCAATCACTCACTGCTCCAGAACAAACACTCCTAGAAATTAAACATAGACCAGGACGGGGGGAAGGCCTGAACAAAGTGTGTTTGCTCAGTAAAAAACCTTGTTTAAAAAAAAAACCTGAAATAAATATATATATAAAAAAAGAGAGAGATACAGATCTATCTTTAATGAGAGATGGATGTGTTTAGCAGTCTGGAATGTACAGGAATGGGTCTGTTGACTGAAAAAGAGCTTTTTCACTGAAAAAAAGGCCCCGGGAAGCCTTACAAAGCCGGGCTCAGGGCAGGCAACATCCCATCCCACTTTCACTTTTCACACTGGATGTTATTTGGAAGTCATGAGGGTTTTTCATTGTGTTAAACAGACCCAGAACTCAGCGATTCTGCTCCAGGGAAGGTTTAAATGAAGACATGTGTCATCCCATGGAGAAGAGCAGAGTGAACTGGGAACACTCCAGCCCTCCTACCACATGCCACTGTCCCCCCTCCCAGCCCAGCCCATCCACAGTGCCTCTGGAGACTCCCTGAAAATGGCTAAATCTAGAGGTTTTAAGCATAAGCACTTTGCAGGCGCTTCTGTTTTATTCAGCCAAAAAAATATGTTTTCAAGCCCCATGTCAGGGTTTCCCTGACAGCGACACAAGGGAGATAAAGGTCCCTCCTGAAACTTCCTGAACGAGGAATTAATCCACAACTTTAAGGATCTGGATTGTTGTGGTTCTGCACTGCTGCTTCCAGGCAACAGAACGTGGAGCTTAAAGATTTGAAAGAGAGAAGTGAGACCCAGTTATTGCCCTGGCTGCAGGCAGAGAGGGATTTCTGGATCAGAGAGGTGGGTCTGAGCCTCATATAAGTTTCTTTAGATAGTTGTGAAGTATAAAAAAATAGGTAAATAAATAATGACTGAGTAATTGTAGAGAGGATAGAACAAAGAATGAAAAAGTATTTTAGCTGATAGAGTAAAACCCTTGTTAAACAGGACAGATGGGGATCAGGGCGTGTGATTTTTGGCATATTCTTCTACTAACAAGAGGCAACTCAGGTGTAACCCAGAGAGCTGGGGCCAGTTTATACCTGTAGCCACAACCGTGACAAACTTGGATCCAAAGTGCCCATCTGGGGAGAGGCGACAGATGTTGGGCTGCTGGTTCTGGAAGTTGCCAGCTGTGATGCACTCCTCTGCACTCAGGTAATACGTGTCCTGAGGGGAGAGCACCGGTTCCAGTCAGCGAAAGGACAGCCTGACGTAGCCCAGACCTATTTCCCTGGGCTGCAGCCAAGGAAAACGACCAACACCCCAGGAAAACACGCTTTCGTGGAAAGCTGCTGCAGAGCCCGGGACAGGAATGTGACCTGTCAGCTCCCCAGCCCTGAGCTGGCTCAGGACTGTCCCAGAGAGTCCCCACCCACATTTACACACCATTCTTTTTTTATTTTTTTTTTAAGCTGAAGTTTCACTTTCCAAATATGGATATCACTGGGTTTACAACCACAGGAAGCTGAGGAGGTCGAAGTTTGAGCCACGTATGTGTCACAAAGCCCAGCCCATGGGAACATCCTCTGAGTCACTCTGGCTCACTGGGTTTGCACCTCACACCCCCCACTCCCTCCACTCCATGGAGTTTTATTAATCCTAAAAAGGGAAGGGTTAGATGGGAGGAAATCCTTCCCTGTGAGGGTGGTGAGGCCCTGGCACAGGTTGCCCAGAGAAACTCCCATCCCTGGGAGTGTCCAAGGCCAGGTTGGACGGGGCTTGGAGCAACCTGGAATAGTGGAAGGTGTCCCTGCCCATGGCAAGGGACTGGCACTGGATGTGCTTTAAAATCCTTTCCAACCCAAACCATTCCATGATTCCAGGAGCATCATTTCATTAAAGCAGAGGGGTGAAGGGCTGCAGGCAGCTCTCCCTGCTCTCCAAACAGCTCAATCCCAAACAGTTTGAAAGGTTCAAGCTCCCTTTCCTTCAGAAGCACCTGAAAAACCCCATTTCACGAGAATCCCAGTGTCACCTGCACCCCTGCCCTGCCCTGGCTCAGCAGCTGGAATCAGCTGGGTCACACCTGGATCTCACCTTGTTCCTGCTGTATCGAACGGTGCCTTTCCGTGTGTCCTCAGAGACCAGGTCAGTGAATATCCAGCCGACCTACAAAGGGTGATGGAGAATGTTGTTTTAAGGAAAAAAAGGACAAAAAAACCCAAAAAAAAGAAACAAGAAGGAAACCAGAAGAGCTTATACATTTTCAGCTCACAGGACACGATGTTCTTGGCTCCCCTCGGCCCTGTGCACGCTGCCTGCAGGGAATGGCTCTCCCAGCTGTGCCGGGCTCTTGGAATCCCATTTCCAGGAGCAGCAGCATGCCAGCTGGCTGGCCAGGGCACCTGCAGTGTTGTGTTTCACTATGGAATATTTTTCATGGAAAGATCTGGAGGCTGCAAGAGGCTTCTGTGTCTCCCACCCCCCAGCAGAAAGCAGTTCCTACGGAGCGCCCAGAGCAGCTCACGTGGTCCCAGATTGAACCTCTCACATGATCCCAGTTTGAACCTCACAGGCTCTGGTTAGGAGGAAGCTCATACTGGAGTGTGATTCATTCCAAACTGGAGTCTGTCCTGACCCAAAAAACACATTCCTGCTTTCTGTGGTTGCACACTGGTGTGTGCATGTACACACCAACAACCCCTGGAGTGGGCATCCCTTCCACATACGTGTGCCATGTGTACACACACCTCGGGATGAACCCTCTGCACCCCTGTGCCAATCCCAGCCCCCACAGCATTAACCCTCCCGAGGCAGAGCTCCCTGCAGAGCCCAGACAGACCAAACCCTGCAGCCAGCACTCGGTGACGTGTTAAATCCTGTGGATTAAAAATATCTGATGGGAGAAGCGGAGGGAAAACATGGTAATAAATAAAACACACAGAAGTCTTGCTCCAGCCTCTGGCGAGGGGTGAGATCTTATCTGGGAGAACAAAGCCCTCCCCACAGATGTTTACAGTCTGCACTGAGCTTTCTCCCAGTCGTGTTTTCTTTAGCAAGTCAAATCTTGTTTGTGTACATCCCATTCCTGGCATTCCCACCATACCAACGGTGCTCCCAAACCGGAAAATATCAGCGCAGGTTTGAGGGATGTCAGGAAACCAGTGGATCCCAAAGGATGACTGGCAGGATGGAACTGAGGGGGACCTGCACCCCCAAACCACACAACTCACTCCCTACAGCACCAAGAGACCTCATGGAGGGCAATAAAATCCAAGGGGAGCCCCTGCTCCTGGAAACGGAGCACAGAAGCAACTCCAGCTCAATTTGTGCCAAATCAGCACTTGCCTGGGAGATGCTCCCAGGAGTGGCTCCTGTCTGAGGGGAAAGAAAGGGAAAATGGTGTTTCTGTTGCTTTGCTCCAACCTCTGATGTCCCTCATGACTCCAACTGCAGCTGCACTGCCCCGTGAGGGGCCTGTGCTCAGGAAAACCCTCTGGTTTGGGGTTTTATACCTAAAAATGTGCATTTTATACCTAAAAAAGCTGCTGACACTTAAGTGAGATTTAGGTAACCCAAAAGGACTTGGTCTGCTGACTTCCTTCCCTGCCACACCCAGACACACGAGATCCAACACATCCTGACCTTTCTCAGGCCGAGCTTTGCCGCGATCTCATCCACGACCTCGGCTTTGGGATCCTCCAGGATCTCCAGGCTGTTCTGTGTCCCGATCTGCAGCAGAGAGACACTTGTTACTGAGAGAGAACAGGAAAAAAAAACCAGGATAGCCACCGTGGGGAGTGAGGCAGAGCATGGGAGCAGAGTCCAGTGTCACCCCAGAGACCTCCCCTTGCAACTCTGCTCTCACACACATTCCCAAGGGTCCATTTGTTCCTCTTCCACTGGCAATCTGTTGGATTGCACTCTGGCCATGCTGCAGGAGTCACCAGGATGAAGGAAGCACAGGAGGAGGGCTCAGACCATGTGAAGCCAAGCGGTGCCGTGCCCCATCTAGTGGGGACTCCAGCCCAACTCATCCTCAGCCTCTCCACCGTTCTGCCTTCAAATCATTTGGATTTCGTTCTGTCTAATTAAGCTGGTCAAATTTTCCCAGAGAGCTGGGAAGGAATTGCAGCAAGGGCTGCAACTGTTTTTTTCCTAGCACAGAATTTCTTGGAAAATTTCCTGGAAATCCAGGAAACGAGGGAAGACGAAAAGTGAAATCCACTTTTAACAGTCACCCTGGATTTAAATAATTTGAACACAGAGTAATGTAAAACATATAATATAAATAGAAATAGATATTAAAATGAATATATTAATAAAATATAATAAAAATATAATAATAATATAACAGCATTATATGAAATAAGCATAATAATATAATACTATATTTTAAATATATGATAAGAAATAATATAAATAAGAATAATATGAAAAAAAAGGGGGTGAACCAACAAAAAGCAAATCTGGGTTTAAAAATCTCTCGGTGGCAGCAGCTGATGGTGACATTAAGGACATAAATCCCATCACCTTTTCCTCGGGACAGTTTTCCTTGTGGAGCTGCGGTTGGGAACGACGAGTGAGGTTTCCCACCCTCAGCAGGTGTTTCTGTGTCCCCAACCATGAGGGGACCCCGGGAGCAGGGGGGGGCTCACCTGGGGGGGTTCATAGATGGCCGCCACCTCTGCCCGGATGCCCAGGGGGATGTCTTTGTGCTCCGTGTACCGGCCGTACAGATAGCCCAGATGCTGGTTCCCTGTCTTCCTCCAGAAGTCTAGGAAGCGATCTGCAATTGTGTGGTTCTCAAACATGATGTTGTCAACATGCCTGTATTTCTGTTTGACAAAGTTCAAGCGTCAGGCCGTCCTTCCTCCGCTGGCTCCGGTGCCTTCCCAGGGCTCACACACCACCCCTCCGGAGCGGGATCCTGCCACAGCAGGCCTGGGGGAATGCTGGGGGTTCCCTCCCTCTCCCCCTCTGCTCAGCTCCCACCCCTCAGCACTGCTCCCTGCCCGGCAGGTCCCACCACGGGCTGGAGCGTGGGGATGTGCTGAGCACCCCCCGGCACCTCGGGGTCTCTGCTGGGACCTTCACCCCAAGAGCCTTTTCAGGTAAAATGACACTGAAATTCAAGAGGAAACAAGAAGCTGAGTGGCCTTTGGGATCCCCTGAGGAAAAACAGTAGGATTCATCCCTCCATACTGGGAGGGAACTGCTGACCCAGGACATTTTGGAACCCTTTTTCACAAGGCCTGAAGAAGCTGGGCAGGATTTCCCTGACACCTGGAGGCTTCGTGCTCCAGGCTGGCTGTTCTGGAAGTCACCTCTCCCAAAAGGGAAGCCTGTGAGGTTCCATGAGCTCCATCTCACCTGTCTGTTGAGGGTGATGGCGCTGGGCTGGCACTTGGTGCAGATCCCCTCTGGCCAGGGAGGGTGTCCCTCACACCCCGACTTGATCTTACAGCTGATGTTCTCCAGGGCTACAAACTTCCCCCTGGGAGAGGGGGGAAGAGAAAAGGGGGGAAAAGAAGGGAAATGGGGGAAGAGAAGGCTGCTGTTACCACAGCCAATGCTTTTGGAGCAGTAATTTATGGAGCACGTGGGAAGTAACAGGTTGTAGCACTCGGGCAAATCAGAGCTCCTTTCATGTTCATGAGGTTTCCTGGAAAGGGAAGTTCCCTTCAAATGGAAGTATCATGGACTTGGGCTGCATCTCCCAGAGAGATTTAAAAAATCCCAGTGGTATTTAGGAAACATGGAGATACACCTCTGTGTAACTTATGTCCGTGGAATTTGAGAACCAGGCTTGGAGCTGGAACCTCTTTCCTTCCATCTGGCCTTCTCCCCCCATCAGGAGTGTTTCCTGGAAGTAATTACATTGCCACAGGAAAAAAAGGAAAACTAGAAAGAATAAACCCCCTAAAATAAAAAGCCAGATTATTTTTCCCCCGCCTTTTCCTTTTTTCTTTTATTTTTCAACACGTTTCCTCCTCAGTTTGCCATTCAAGCCTCGTATCCCACACTGAGATCTGTCTGTACTTTCATTTGTGTTTAAAAAAAAAAAAAAAAGAAGCTACAACCAGATTCCCTTAAACCCAGAGCTTTTCTTACTTGTCTGCCCCTCCGGTCAGCTTCCTGATGTAGGCATGGAATGACATGTGCTTCACAGGAGGCTCCAGATGGTTCAAATAATCCTCATCGAACGGCTGCCAAAAACACCACACAGAGCACAGGCAGGTCAGGCACCTGTCTGATAACACCCTGATCACTGAGCAAATGGATGTTCCAGAGTCAACCCCACCAATGTGGAAGCAATCAAGGAAACTCAGGCTCATTTTCGAGGCAGCTACTACTGGGATACAAACAGTGCAGCTTCACAACGGTGAGTTTTATGGTCGCCTCCTGCTCTGGTAACAGATTGGCTCCACAAATCAGAACGAGCCTCAAAGGCAAAAAGCCTTTTCCTTTTGATATCTAACAACAAACAAGGAGTCAGCTGCTCCAAGCACGGCCAAGGGCTCCCAGAGCACTTCCAGCAGTGGGGAACAGCCATCCTGGAATGGCCAGGATCCCCTTTGGAGGGGTGGCTGCTGCTTCGTGCCATAAATTACACAGCCCAGCACGTTTGGAGGCTGAAGCTGCTTCAAGCTGAATAATCATGAAATCATGGAATGGTTTGGGTTGGAAGGGACCTTAAAGATCATCCAGCCCCACCCCCTGCCATGGGCAGGGACACCTTCCACCAGCCCAGGTTGCTCCAAGCCCTGTCCAACCTGGCCTTGGACACTTCCAGGGATGGGGCAGCCACAGCTTCTCTGGGCACCCTGTGCCAGGTGGTTCAACTGGGAAGCGCTGGGATACATGAGAGAAGGGATGAAACAAGAAGATACAGGAAAAAATGAAGAGGGAGGAAAAATGGAGCACTTTTTAAAGCACTTTCTGTTAAACTCATTATTGCAGAAAACCATCATTAACCAGGATAAACCCAGGGTCACAAAGGCCTGGAGCTTTAGTGATCCCAGAGCCAGCAGTGCACAGCAGGATTCCAGCCTGGAAAAGCATTCCACTCCTAGAGAAGTGTTCATACTGGGAGAAACTGGTGTGAGTTTGTAGCACCCTCCTGGGGCTCTTACCTCGAGTGGGACACAGTGAACACATTTACCCAGGGGGCCGTGACGACACCTGGGCAGAGAGAGAGAGAAATGGGGTTAAATCTCATTTAATATGGGAACTGAAGTAGGAATAAATCTTATTTAATATGGGAACTGAAGTGGCGTTAAATCTTATTTGATAATGGAAAAATCAGACTGTAAGAGTTGCCCTCGAGTAATTTTGGTGTGGAAGAGCTACATGAGCTCTGAGCAATTCTCCAGCCCCCAGGGAATGCTACAGAGGGGTCACAGAATGATGGAATGGTTTGGGTTTGAAGAGACATTAAAGATCATCCAGTTCCACTTCCTGCACCTTCCCCTAGCCCAGGTTGCTCCAAGCCCTGTCCAACCTGGCCTTGGACACTTCCAGGGATCCAGGGGCAGCCACAGCTTCTCTGGACAACCTGTGCCAGGGCCTCCCCACCCTCACAGGGAGGAATTTTTTTCCTAATACCTAACCTAAATTTCCCCTCTTTCAGTTTGAACCCATCCCTCCTTGTCCTGTCACTCCAGTTCCTGATGAATTGGACTTGAATTATCTTGTCCAGGTTGAAGTTAAACCTGAGAGCCTCAGGTCAAGATCAAACCCTCCTTATGTGCCTGGGAAGGGGCTCTGCTGCCCCCAAAATCACCTGAATCCACGTCAGGTCAGGTTTCACAACCCTTCAAGTTCAAAGAATTCAGACCCTTCAAATTCAAAGAATCTCCAGGTCACGTGGCAGGGCAGGTTTTAACAAAAAGCCACCCAAAACGTTCATCCTTTATCAGGCACTGGAGGATGGGCTGGAACAACCAAGTGTGTGTTTTTCGGGCAGATAAACCCCGCAGGGGAGAGTTAGAGGAGAAAACCTCTCCTTCTGTGGTGATTGCTTTAAAAAAACCCCTAAACCAACAATAAAATCCCCCCCAGCACTAAGTCAGTGCTGCTTTTCAAAGGAAGGGCTCTGGAGGTTGGTGTGTGGAGACAATGGATGGGATCCAGTTGCAGGATTGATTTTAAGGAGGTTTTGTGGCAGATAATGTACAGAAAGGAGCCCTAAATGCTGCTAATGCACTCAGCATCCTTCACTTGAGATTGATCCACCCTCCCAAACCCAGGAACAAGCCCAGACACCTCCTTTTATCCTAAATACCCACCCCTGGGCTTTGGCTCCCTGCTAGGAACAACTTCATTGATTCCTTGAAAAGTGTGGGCAAGTTCAAGACAATGTTTTCACCACAGAGTGGTGGGTTTTGCCTTTATTGCTTCAATAATGTGACATCCCATCACTTATGGTCAGCCTGGGAAGGTCAGAGAGGATTTTCCACAAATTTCCCTGCTGCTGCAGCACTGAGGATAAACCATATGGGGGACAACACCACAGGGAAGGGCAGATGATTCTGTTTCAGCAAGAATTCCTGGCTGCCTTTAAAATTTTCCCTCAAACCCTTTCAGGAGTCTCTTTCCAGAGGGTTCCAGCCCCAAGGTCACATCTAGGACCCAACTGGGATGCTAATGCTGAGCAATAAAAGCCCATCACCCACCCAGGGGGTGTTTTAGCAGCACCAGTGTAGATTTTGGGTGGGTTTAACCCATTGTTGTATTATTTTTACACAAATAGAAGCTGCTTTGTTTCCCGAAGGCTCTTGCACGGAGGAGCTTTGAAAAGTGGGACTTTGGTGCATTTTTGTGAGCAAAAGGGACTCCCTGGTTTCACAAAGGTCAGAAAGGCACGTGGTGGAAAGGAAGTAAAAAACTAAGCAGGGAAATTGAGACCTGAGTCTCAATTCCACACCTCTGTCTGCCATGGGACACTTCCACTCATTCCCCTCACTTCTGTGTTCCCCTTTATGAGAAGTGGCTGGATCTGAAGGCTCAGAGTGCTCCTGCTTGGGACATTCCCTGGCTGCTGGGCTCAGACATGACATTCCAAGCTCTGGATACAGCAGGAACACCCACAACACCCCCCCCACTCACAGCTGCTGGTCTCGGTTCCGGTAAATCTTCCCGTCCTGCTTGATCAGGTACTGGTCGATCTCATCCTCCACCACCTGGGGGGCACCCCCAGGCCGGGAATTTTGGGAGACAGAGGTGTCCATGGTCTCTGAGGAGGAGCCAGCTGGGCTCAGGGGGTACAGGAACAGCATATCCCCGTGCCTGCAGGGGTGGGAGACAGCACACAGGTAGTGGGAGGGGTGGGAAACAGCACCCAGGAAGCTGGAGCTGCTTCCCAACAGGCAGCCAACCTCCTGGAACGTGGAAGAGCATGGAATGTGTCCCAAACTATAATCAGACCAGCTCAGGTGGCAGCTGGAAGCTGCTCCATCAGCCACCTCTTCCTGCTGCTCTGGTCATTTGGCACAATAAATGCAAAACCCTTCCATCAAGAGACACAACCAAGGGGAAAAGATGGAGAAAAAGGCAAAGGGAACCTATGGAGAGAGGCAACAGCTCCAGGAGGGAAAAGGAGTAGTGTGGATCCCGTGTGGATCAAGTCACAGCCTTCCCAAGGCAGCTGGCACATTCCAGGGACACGCTGCACATGGGATGTGATTTTTCCCACAGCCACCCATTTTGGAAGCTCCAAGCAGAGCCCCCCATGCTGGAAAAACCCTTCCCATGGGGACTCACTTGATTTTGAGCAGGTTGAGGGATTTGTTCTGGGCTGCTGTGATCTCCCCTGTCCTGTTCCTGTTGGTGTACACGGAAAAGCCATTATTCCTGAAGCCAAATTCCTTGGCGACCTGAAAGACAGGGGAGAAGGACAAGGTGTGAGGTGCCTGAGGGCTGGAAGGGGCTCAGAGCCAGAGCTGATCCCAGGGAAGTCCTACTGCAGGAATTCAGCACAGTTCTGAGCTCAGGATGATGGGCAGACATGGAAGAAACACCTGGAAACAAAAGCAACGGATTAAAACAGGAATTTAAACACCCAGAATGTGTTTCTCCCTCACACAACACAAATGCAGAGTTTGATCTAAATCCAGGCAAGCACTGCAGGACTGCAGGGAGAAACTTCTCCACTATCCCAGTTCTCCCTGTTTTCTCACTCCAGCCACACCAGCAAGTCATTCCCATCCTCCTGGGACCAGAATTCCTCATCCACACCTTCACCTCTGTGGATCTTTTGCCCTCAGTTCCACTCCCACCAACCAGCTGCTTCACTCAACCTCTTCCCACTGTTCTGTCTGATTTTCCCCACTTTCCTCCTCTCTCCCATGGAATTCACCCCCACAACAGCCACCTCTCAGCCCCCACGCTGGTTTTTCCTGCTCAGTTTAAGGCTGATTTACTTGGGATCAGTCCAACACCTCTTCCCAGCAACAATAATTTGCACATTTGGCCACTTGAAAACATCATGAGTTCAAAAACGGTGTTCAGAGTTTCTCTACTTGACAAGTTTTGCCCCAAATTCTCAAGTCAATGGCCTTTATTCTTAGTAATAAAAATAATCCCTGTGACTTTGGGAACAGGGAATGCCCCCAGGACAAATGTGATGAGACACAAAGAACTGTCACATGAGCAAAGCCATGAAAAGCAGGTTTTTTTTCCTGTCAGCTCTGCTGTGATTTGCAGCAGTGAGTGACCCGTGTGAATGGGATCCTTTCACGGGGATCAGCTCCTGCTCCTTGGGTTTGAGTTGATTCCTGACTCAATTCTACCCTGAGCACAGCCAGAGTCACTTTTTTAGGGCTTTTTTCCCTGGATGTGGTACAAGAGACAGGGAGGATTATCCGATCCCTTATTCCTTGCACACTTCTGCAGCTTCTCTGGAGCAGATCCAAGTTAATTCCCTGTAGGGAAGCAGCAATCTGATGCCTCTCTAATTCCAGCTGTCCCCCTAAACACCAACCCCACTCCCTGGGTGAACATTCCAGCATTAAAATCCACAGCACAGGTAAGAGAGACCTGGATTAAGATAAAACACGGATCTCAGGTGGGAAAATTTGCCCCTTTTCTCTTCCAAGCAAACCCTGGAAATAAACCCACACAGGTCTTGTGTTTGGCTCAGCAAGAGGACAGAACCTTCCCCAGACCAACAGGCCATTCCAGGTGCTTCTGTCCTGGCAGGAAGTGTTTTCCAGCCATTGTTCCACACTGCCTTGGGTAACCTGAGCCCTGGAAAGCAGCAGCTTGTTCTGCACAGGCTCCAGAGATCCTGAGAGCTTTTTTTCCCTCGGGTGAGGCTGCTCAGAGGCTCCAGTGGGTGTCCCTGAGCCAGTCCTGGAATCCAGTAGGATTTTTCCTGGCCAGGTGGGAATGCTGTCAGGGAATGCTGTTGGGTCTGGGCTTCAAACAAAGCAAATGACTCACAGAGAGCAGGTTTCGGGCTGCTCCCATTCCCTTCCCTCTCACATGGAGAACAAAGAAACCCCAGTCTGAGGGTTCCAGGCTGCAGAGGAGTTCCAGGAGGGAATGAAATGGAGAGCTGCTCATTCCTAAAGAGCAAACTGACCACAGAGCAGCTGCATCACCCCACAGCCAGCCCCCCTGACAGCTCCCACCCGGCATGTTCCTTCAGCCAGGGGGGAAATCCTGCCCAGATCTCCCTCAATCCCTCCCTTGCTCTCTCCAAACCCATCTTGGAAAACCAGCAGCACACACAGCACATCCAAATGACATTCCAAGCCCAAATCCAGCAGCTGAGCCAGGCCTGGACCCTGGTTTGACCATCCCCCAGCTCCCCTGTGCCACTGTCACCCTCTGCTTCCCAGCTGCCCTAAAAAATGTCCTTCCTGGGAAAGCTCCCACCCCAGGGGACCCCAACGGAGAAGCTGAGGGAGTTTATTATCTTTAAATGTGTTATTTTCCCCCTGGAACAGCAGGAGTTACCCCAACAGAAGTGTGGGTTTCCCCCTGGGATGCTGTCCCGTGCTGCTGGCAGTGAGATCAAACACAGGTATCCCATGGGATAAGCAGTGGGAGCCCTGCCCCATCCCGTGGGGAGGCACAGGGGGTCCTGGGGTACCTTTTTGAGGAACGTTGCCACCGTCTCTCTCTTGGTGGCCGTGATTCTCTTCACTCCCTCCGGCGACTGCACGCGGATGATCTGGAGGGGAGGGGACAGCGGGTCAGGGAGGGGGACAGAGCCCACTCTGAGCCTCCAGCCCTGCGTTCCCCTGCTCCTCCCTCCCGTTCCCATCTTCCAGAGGGCCTGAGAACACCCAGGGGGGCAGGACTGGGTGGTGTCTGCGAGCACAGGGAGGGGAACCATCCCAATGCTCCGAGCCCTCGGCAGGAGCTTCTCCAAGGAAAACACTTCTCTGAGCTCAGAGCTGGAATTAAACCCTCAGGAGGGCGGATCAGAGCTCCCAAGGGGGGGGTTATTCACGCAGACACCCGCCCAACTGGTGTTACTGGGCAATGCACTGGTCGTGGCTGAGCCCTGGTAATCAGGAGATGGGGAGAGGCTTGGGCTGCTCCCGGGAAACCAGAGCTCAGGAACGGGAAACCCGACAGATTTGGGGGGGGGAAGGCCAGGGGAGTCCTTGGGGTGCAGGCAGGGAAGGGACAAAGGTAAAAGCCGCTGTCCCGGGGCGTGGAGGGGCTGGAGCTGTTCTCAAGGGGCCGTTCAACCGCTCCCGGGGGACTCGAGGACACGGGCAGGGGGCGGCGTGTGTGGGGAGGGGACACGGGGGACACGAGGGGACACAGAGGGGGACACACGGGGGGAGCTGCCCGTGTCCCGCCGTCACCCCTTCTCACTCTCTCAACTTCCATCCCGGGCACAAGCCCGTTGGGACGGGACCGGGAGCCCTTCACCGGCCCCACCGGCTCCTTCTCCACCTCCCCCTCGAGCCCCCGCCCGGGGCTCAGAGACACCGGAGGGGTCCCGGCCCCGAACCGCGGGGGAAGAACCACGGGGGGCCCGTCCCGCGGCGCCGCGGGCGCTGCCCCGGCGCGGGCACCGCCGGGGCCCGTCCCGGTGCCCCCGTCCCGGCCCCGCAGGAATCTGCTGCCTCATCGCCCCTCCCCCGGCCGCACTCACGATCGTCTCGGCCATGGCGCTGCCCGCGGGCGCCGGGGGCTCGCCGAGCCGCTCACGCACGGCCCGTCCCGTCCCGCTCGGACCGTCCCGGCCCGTCCCGGCCCTTCCCGGCCCTTCCCGGCTCCTCCCGGCCCGGCCCGGCCCCGCCGCCTCCCGGGACCGGCCCGCCCCCGCGCCCGCCCCCCCCCGGCCCCGTGCCCGCCGCGCGCGCGTTCCGCCGCACTAAGGTTCCTACCCCGCGTGCAACCGCAGCGGTTCCCCCCATGCCGCCTCGGTGTCACCGCTAAATCGGTCCCCCATGCTGCCTCGGTGCCACACACACGGATGTCCCCCCCCCGTGACGCACCGCCCGCTGTTTAGTTCCGCATGCAAGCAGTGCCCTCGGAGGGGCCCCCCCCCCGGTGCTGTGGGGCGGGGGGGGATCGGGTCCAGCTGTGGGGGTGCGGGGGAATCTGACCCTGCTGTGGGGGTGAGGGTGGGGATCGTGCCCAGCTGCGGGGCGGCACCACAGTCCCATTTAAGCCCGCCCGCAGCCCCTCACATGATGGGAGTGTGACTGGGGTCTGGGCACGAGGCGATGGCGCTGAGCAGAGCCCGGCTGTCCCAGCCCCACGGGGAGAGCACTCGGCTGCTGCCCCAGGTAACGCCAGGGCCCCCACTCCCCTCCCACGGGAGACCCCCTTCCCGTGTCCCCCACATCTCCTCCCCGACCCCTGGGTGCTGGCTCTGTGCTGCATCCCGCATCCCTGGGGGCCTCCACAGGGATGGATCTGGGGGTCCCTGTCGGGGCAGGGTCTCTGGGGTGCACCCCTGTGAGAGCAGGGATGGGGTACCCTGCGTGGGGGGGCTCAGCAAGGGGCTGCAGGGTGATCCCAGGAGCCTGTGACAATCTGGCTGTGGGACAGGGGCACCTGGGAACACTTCTGGGGGGCTGTGGAACAGGGATGTTTCTGGGGGGCTGTGGGACAGGGGCACATGGGGATGTTTCTGGGGGGCTGTGAGTGGCTCCTCTGTCCGTGCAGGTGTCCAGGCTGGTGGAGCTGCCCTACTCCTCCTGCTCCGATGACGATGCTGACGGTGTCTCACTGCCTGGGGACGCGGCCGAGCAGGACCCCGGGCTGTGGCGCCCCGTGCCCCCCAAACCCAGCACCTTCAGCCGCTGCGTGCGCTACCTGGCCTTCCTCTGGAACCTCCTCTTCCTCCTGCTGGGGCTGCTGCTCCTGGCCGTGGGGGTCTGGGGGCTGCTGGCCAAGGCTGCCCTGCCCGGGGGGGAGCGTGGGGCTCCCCTAGGCTCAGACCCCATGCTGCTCTTCGTGCTGGGGGGGCTGGGGGCCAGCGCCGTGTCCCTGGCCGGCTGCCTGGGCGCCCTCCGTGCCAGCCCCTGCCTGCTCCGCTTCTTCCTGGGGGCCCTGCTGGCTTTTGCGGGGCTGGAGGTGCTGGGGGGGCTCCTGGTGCTGCTGGCGCGGCGGCGGCTGCGGGACGGGCTGCGGGACCTGCTGCTGCTCTGCCTCCTGCGCTACCAGGAGGACCCCGACCTGCAGTTCCTGGTGGACGAGGTGCAGAGGAGCCTCCAGTGCTGCGGCCTCGGCTCCTACCGCGACTGGGAGAGCAACCCGTGAGTGGGGGCTGTGGGGATGAGCTGGGGGGAGACCATCCCCGCCACGGGGCTGAAAACCCTCTGTTTGTGTGGGACCACATCCCCACCACGGGGTGGAAAACTCGCCCCGTTCATTATGGGGTCCGTGCTGGGGACTCGTGTTTGGGGTGGTGGGAGCCCCAGAACAGTCCGTGAAAGAGAGGGACGAGCCAGGACCCGTAGCTGGTGTCCAGCTCCGTGTCTGGGGGGCACGGGGACACCCCCATCCCTGCCCCCCAAACGTGTGTGGACCCACATCTCCCCGTGTTCCCCCCCCACAGGTACTTCAACTGCAGCGCCCCGGGGGCACAGGCGTGCGGAGTGCCGGCCTCGTGCTGCCAGGACCCTCTGGAGAGCGGCTCCGTGCCCAACGCCCAGTGTGGCTTCGGGGTGCTGGCGCTGGGGGCGGCGGCGGCGGGCGCCGTGGTGCACGCGGGGGGCTGCGGGGCCGCGCTGGGCGCGTGGCTGAGGGGCCAGGCCGGGGCCATCGCCGCCGCCGCCGCCGGCCTGGTGCTGGTGGAGGCCGTGGGTGCCCTCATGGCACTGAGGGTGCTCGGGGATGTGGCGGCTTTCCGGGCGTGGGGGTGACTGAGGGATGCTGGCGGGGGCTGGTCCAGCCCAAAATGGACTGTGTCAGAATCCTCAACCCATCCGTGTCCTTGTTCATCCTGCTGGTGGAGGCTGTGGGAGGCTCCGTGGCACTGAAGGGCACTCAGGGACATCGTGGCTTTCTGGGTGTGGGAGTGAGGGGATCGGGGGGGTTTGGGATATGTGGGGGGCTGGTCCAGCCTCAAATAAACCTTGTCAGATGCCTGAACACATCTGTGTCCTGTCCATCTCACCATCACCACCAGCGCAGTCACTGAAGGTGCTCGGGGACATTGTGACTGGGGGGGGGGACGACACTGGGGATTTAGGGATATGTGGGGGGCTGGCCCAGCCCAAAATAAACCCTGCCATTCGCCTGAACCCCACCTCTGTCCTGTTTATCCCCCCATGCCGTGGGGAGACACTTTCCCCCCGCCCCCCCAGATGGTGACACGACTCCTGCGCTCGTTTGGGGTTTCAGGATTTAATTTTTCCAAGCAGAGCCCCACTGTACAGATGGAGAAGCCTCTACCTACACAGCACTACGGGGCAGGTGACCCAGCCAGGCCTCCCCCAGCCCTAGATGATGCCGTACTGAGCCAGCTCGTGCAGCTCCAGGTGGCTGAAGGCCTCCCAGGGACAGATGACGGTGATGTCTGGGGGGAGGAGAGGACAGAGGTTGTGGTAGGGTAACCCCCCCACCCCCAGCCCCTGACCCCCCACTGCCACAGAGGAGAAGGGACCCCCATACCTGTTCCCAGCCCTTCCATGCCCGGGATGTCGTCACCAAACCTGCAGGGAGAGAGAGGGAGTGTCTGGCCTGACCCCCGGGCAGCCCCCACCACCAACCCAGGGCCTGTCCCCACTCACCCCTGCACCCCCTTTTTGGGGGGTTTGCTTTTGAACTGCCTCGTCTGCCTCTGCTTGAACTTGGGGGGTCCCTTGCGGGGGGTGGCGGGACCCCCGGTCACCCTGGTGGCCGATTTCACCTCCAGCTTGGGGGGCTCCAGGCTCATGGCTGGGGGGGGCTGGCAGCCAGCCCCGGCTCACGGCGTTCCCTGCGGATCCGGCGCTGGCACGGGACAGCTGCTGGCACCTGCTGGAGGGGGAATGGGGGGCACCAGCTTCTCCTCCCACCCTGTGCCCCCACTCCCACCCTTCTTCCCTAATTGGATCTGAGGAGCCCCCTCCCCTCAACACCGACTCAGCCCAGCTCATCCCGCTAATCCCCTTTCTCCAAAGGCAGGGAAGGGTGTCCTGGGGGGCACCAGACCTGCTGCCACCCACTGGGGCTGTTCCTTCATCCCGTGCACCACATCCCAGCATGGGTTTGACCCCTGGGACCTCCCATGGCACTGCCAGGACTCCCTCCCCACAGCTCACCCCGGGGTCTGTGCCGCGGTGGGCAGCAGTGTGGTTTAGGGGTGGTGGGCACCCCAGGCTGGGTAGAGGGAGCAGAGGATGGCCCACGGGCTCCATCCCTCCTCCAGGCACCAGGAGCAGGAATTCTGCAGCACAAGACCTGGCTCTGGCACAAGGGGTTCAGCCCCACTGCAGAGCTCAGGAGCTGGGCACAGGCCTGGGAAGAAGGATCCGACCCAGGGAGATGCCTGGATGTTCCTGAACGATGTTCCTGAATGCAGGAACAGCAGCAAAGCAGCCCCGTGTCCCGTCCCATCCCAGGAACCCCTGACTCACACAGTCCCACGGTTCCCGAGGCCAGCGCTGCTCCCTCCGTCCCACAGCCCGGAGATGCTCTGGGGGGCTTTTCGGGAGGGAGATTTATCCTGCCCTGGGGTAATAGGATTATTTAGCTCCCTTCTCTCCCAAGGGGTAATCCGGTGTCCTTCCCCCGCCCTGGGTGGGGAGGGGGTGTCGGGATTAGTGCCGGTGGGACAGGCTGTGTCCAGCCGGGCGGCAGATCCCACACAGGGCGATCCCACCTCCTCCCCTGGGGGATCCCCCATTCCCCAAGAGATTCCCTCAGCGCCCCTTGGTCCCAGCAGGAGGGATGGGACCCCCATCCCAGTCTCCCTCCCGGCTCAGGTGGGGGTCCTGGCACAGGGGGTGCCCTCCCAGCACCATCCCTGCTGGTGCCACCACAGGACAATATCCAGCTGGAGAGGGTCTGTCAGCCCCTGCCCACGGCCGGTGTCGCTCCAAAGCTTCCCTAATCCAGCACTAAAGCAATTAAAAACGGAATAATCTCAGCACACTTTAATTGAACTTCAGCCCCCGCCACTAATTGCAATTAGTTGGGCTCCAGCAAATAGGATTAGAGGGGATCCAGGAGTGTTTTCCATGGAGAACAAGCTACTTCCGTGGCAGAGAGCAGGGCCCGGCTGTTAATTTGGGTTCTTTAGTGGGTGACACTCAAGGGCTTGGTGGGTCATTGGGAAGCTCATCCTGGGATGATGAGGGGGTCCGTGGGGGTCCTCATGGCTGTGAGTCCTCAGGATGGAGGGGAGGGGTGTTGTGCCAAGTTTAGGGGGTTTTAAGATAGAGGCAGAAGGAATCAAGGAAGAAAAGGCACCATGGAGAGCAGGATGTGACACCAGGGACAGGGACAGTGTCCTTGACACGAGGCTGCTGCTTCCCACGTGCTCGGGGCCACACGCTGCCCCTCACGAGCCCTTCCCATGGAGAAGCCCCTAAGAGGCTTATGGGGAGGGGTCCAGCACAGCCCCCCCGCACCAGGGCACGGCCAAGGTGCTTAAAATCCCCTCAAGGTGCTTAAATTCCATCCAGGAGCGTGAGGAGGAGGAGGGCTGGGTGTGAGGGGCCGCCCCAGCCTGCCCTTGGTAGGGATTTGCCATCCTGGGGGGGGGAACAGCATCCAGCTCCCAGGAAATCCAGGGCTCAGGACAGGCCTGAGCTGCTGCCTGTCCCCAAGGGCAGGATCCTCTGTGGCAGGAGGTGACACGGCCTGGAGTGACACCCCTGGGATCCCGTGCTCAGCACACACCAACAAACACTATAAATAATCCCGCATCAGATCCCTCCACCCAGCCTGGAACGGTGGCCCTGGGGCTGTCCCCTGCTGGTTTGGGGGACCTGGGGGGGCTCAGTCCTTCTTGGAGCGCAGCCTGATCTCCATCCTGAGGATCATTTTGATGTTCTCGTCCTCCACGTGCTGCTCCACGGCCTCCAGGGCCCGGGCTCCCCCGTCCCGGTGCCGCTCCAGCAGCTCCTCCACGTACCCCACCCACACGCAGTTGGGGCAGCCGGTCCCGCAGCAGTGCGTGGGCGGGGGGGGGACCGGGGGGTCTGCAGGAGGGACCCCACCATTGCCACCGGGGGTGTCTGTGCTGCTGTCCCTCCCCGGGGTGTCCGAGGAGCTGCTGCCCTTTCCCGGCGTGTCCGAGAGCTCCCGGAGGCTGGAGATGTTGGTGGGGTG